CTTTGCTGATGATAATTATTTTGGCCCTTGACATTGGAGCATGGAGTAGCCATTAATGTCATGATTTCATCCTGTGATCAGCCTATAACAGTAGCTTTCCATCAAATGCTGTGAGCTTTTCTTGTCAAGAAATATTCTGCAGCCCTTTGCAAACTAACTGCCATCCTTATTACTTTCTTGAAACTGCACTTTCCAAAGATATCAATGATTTTTGTATCATCCAGTCATGTGGCCTTTGTTCAGTTCTCATCCTTATTAACCTTCCTGCAGCAGTATTTGACACCATCAAGCCATCATCATTCTTTCAGATAGTCTGTCCTGCCTTGGCTTCTATGATCTGTGATCTCTTGCTTTGAATGAATTACTTTAAAAAGTATTCAGTGAGGGAAGGGAACAAGCATTTATTAAGCACCTACTATGTGGCAGGACATCGTGACTGAACTAAAGCACTTTTAAATTGTCTGATTTGCACCTCCCCATAACCCTATAAAGTAGGTGCTATGATCCCTATTTTGCAGTTGAGGAAACGGAGGCAGAGTTTAGGTGATTTTACCTTGGTCACACAGCTAGTTTCTCAGGCTGGATTTGAATTCAGGTGTGTGTCTGTGTGTGTATAGGACTCCAAGTCTAGTGCTCTTTGCACTGTGGTGCCACCTAGCGGCCTCAGTACATGGTGTTTACTATGCATCAAGTTCTGGGGATACAAATGGAAAAGCAAGACATGTTCTGCTCTCAAGGAGCTCCCTTCCAATGGTGGGAGATAATGGGTATGAGAGGGTTTAATTGCAGGGCATAACGAAAGGCTTGTTGGGTGTCTGATGCAGAGTAGGCAATTAATAGATGCTTGTTGACTTCACTTAAGCTTTGATGACAAGGCCCAGGGTCCTTAGGAACTGACATTTGTCCAGCCAAATGTACCCTATGTGTATGGGAGTTTATAGTGGCCAGGAAGATGATAGAGCAGAAGGAAAAGTCCAGTGCCTCCCACATCATACAGGAAAAGTTATAGTTGGTGACTCTTTGCTCAATCAAGTGGCATGAATGGATCTCTTCCTCTAGCAAAGGGCTGGAGGAAGTGTGATAGGGGGTTGGAGAGGAGCAGGGACTCAGGATTCCCTCCAGCAGTGTAGGGAATGGGACCTGTGTTTTTTCTCCAATCTCACAAACCATTCCTCAGTCTCCTTTTCTCAACCTCTTACAATAGGCATCTTCCAAACTTTTGTCCTCAGATTTCTTCTCTTATTTTCCCCTTAGCAATCTAATTCATTCCCACAGCTTTAGTTTTGTGAAGCTTTATGTGCATGGTTTCCAAATCATCTGACCTCTCTCCAAAGCTCCAGATTGGCCAACTGGATAGCTTAATGTTCTACCAGTACCACAAACCCAGTATATCCTAAACCAAGCCAGCCCACCCCCAAATCACCTCCTTTTACTTACTGTCACCTGATTACAGGTTCTTGAAACTGCAGTGTTATCTTTGACTCTTCCTCATTTGCCAATTTATTGCTACCACTAAGACTATTGCAGTGGGCACCTGACTGCTGGTCTTTCTACCTTTAATCTCCCCACCCCTGTCCTCCTTCCCTATCTCCACCTCCATCCATTCTTCATACTACTGTCAAATGAACCTTTCTTAGCCTCACATCTGATAATGTTGCTTCACAAGTTCAGAATCCTTCTATAGTCCTCTCTCCTTTCCTCTACCAACTCACATGGCCTGTGGGAGCAACATAGTGTACTGGAAAGAACTCTGAATATAAAAGCCCAGGATCAAAATCTGAGTTCCAGTTCTGGTACTTATGTTTGTATGGCCATGAACAAGTCATTCTCAGGCTCAGTTTCCTTATAATGGTGATGTTGATACTTCGACTTCTGCGATAGGGTCAGTATGAGTAACCAGTATCTAAAGGTGAGTTGTGTTCTCACCTTTATCGTTCTACCTCCCACTATTCCTCATTTCATCTAACCCTTCCAAAGCCCATTTTAGGTGCCACCTCACATCTGAAATCTTCTATGGTCCTTTACCCCACATCCCAACTGAAAGTAATCTTTCTGCAAATTTCTCAGAGCATATCAACATTTTAATTCAGCAAACATTTAACATATATGTTAGACTGAGAAAAGGAACTTTTTAAAATTTGTTTTTATGCCCTTATATATATCTCCAACACTTAGCACAAAGCCTGGCACATAGTAAGTAGGTGTTTAATAAATTTTTGTTGACTTTGTGTGTGTGTGTGTGTGTGTGTGTGTGTGTGTGTGTGTGTACTATAGATAATCAGAGGATAATCAGAAAACCAGTAACTACATGAAAGGTAGTTGCCATTAACTAATAAGGAAAAGGAGTAAATTTTGAGGGAAGTTAAGCTTTGTTTAAAACATACTGAGTTTGAGGTACTGGAAGGACAGTTCTGGTGGATATACCCAGTAGGCTGATTGGAATCATCTAAATATAGTCATAAATGTTTGTTGAATAAATATCACTTTGTTTAGACCTCTCCTTTGTGTAGATATCACATTCTGTTTTGCATCATAATTATTTGTGCACATGTTTTTTCCGTCTATTAGAGCTGATATTCCCTGAGAGCAGGGGCTATGCCGTATATTTTTTAAGTTCATAGTGCCTTGCATCCATGCTAAAAGGTGATTTAATTCAAGGCCTTCCACAATCTGGGCCCAGCCTGTTTCTAGCCTTTTGGTGAGAACCTATGATTTAATTGATCTAGGGAACTCACTGTGAGGAAATTTCCTTTTTCAGTGTAGATCAGCAACTGTTGTGTAACTTAGTCTTAGAGTTGCCTCAGCCACTAATAGGTGAAGTGACTTGATGTGGATTGCAGTCTTTGTGTGTCAGAGACAGGTATTGAACCCACGTATTCCTCACTCCAAGGCTGGTTCTCTATCTGCTGTGCTGTACTGCTGTTCTAGCCTTATCTCTTACTGTTTCTCATCACATCTCTGTTTTCCATTCAGACTTGGCAGCTGGCCATCCCCCAGGTGTATCCTGAGGCTTCCTGCCTCCATAATTTTGTTCACATCAGCCTCTAACCTGTATTGCCCTCCCCGTCATTGCCTGTTGAAATTTTACTTGTCTTCAAAACCTAGAAAGCTTCTCCTGATTCCTTTCTATCCCACTTTTTTCCTCTAGATGATGATGATGATGATGATGACAACAACTAGCATTTATGTAGCACTTACTATGTACCAGGCACTGTGCTAAGTGCTTTACAAATATCTCATTTGATCCTCACAACAACCCTGGGAGCTAGGTGTTATTATCCCTGTTTTACAGATGAGGAAACTGAGGCAGACAGAAAGTGACTTGCCCAAGTTCAAATAGCTGGTTAGTATCTGAGGCTGGATTTGATCTCAGGCCTTCCTGACTTAGAGTCCAAAGTCACATGTTCCCTTGCCCTCATGGAGTTCATACTGTAGTGCCCATATAGTACAGAAGTGGATAGGAGTAAATGCATAGGACAGGTACAAAGGACTGTGCAAAATCCAAGGAAGAAAAAAATTTGGAGGGCATTGGGGAAAGCTTCGAGGAGGAGTTTGCATTTGAGCTGTCTCAAAAGGAGTAGGATTTTGCCTTTGAATATACAGAAATTTTCTTTAGTGTTCTACTTTTATTTTCTCCCGTATATACACTGTGGTACTTGAAGAGAACACTAGTGTGGAGTTTGAGTTGTTTTTCTAGCAAAGATTTATTTTTCAAGCTTTGTTTACACACACATCATCGTCATCAAATAGCAAGTGACCTGCTGGACCAAAGACCTGGGGACATCCAGTGGCCTGCTAGGGATCTCCTTGCCATCCCTCCTCCCTGTCTTTTCTCCCCTTCTGTCCACCTCATCCCAGTGGTGGGCAGCAGGAAGAGAGGCCAGCAACACCTGTTGCCACTGAGGGAAGTCACAGACTTATCCCTTTCCCACCCAGTCCTTATTGCCAAATGCAAGTTCCCGTTTGTTGTAGGATACCCACTGTCAGCTGGATGCTGATCCCTAAATATCTACTCTATGGAAGATATGCCAGAGCCCCACTCCGCTCTAGTCCTTAAACCCACTCCCCAAGATCTTATTGGCCTTGGCACCTGCCCTGCTACTTTCTCTGCCTAAGGACTACCTGGTTTTTCCATGTGCCATGAACTGAACATAAACATGAACTTCCTTGAACTTCCTTTGTGTGTTGACTCCTCCAAATAGAACATGAGCTCCTTAAATAAGGACTAGATTCTTCATTTGTGGTCCTAGCACTTAGCACAGTGCTTGGCATATAGTAAATACTTAATAAATATTTTTCCATTTCATTCTATTGGAACTTCACAAAAACTAATTGGCACATATGGAGAGCAAACCTCTGGTCCTGGCTTCATTAACACCTAATTATACCATGACTGCAGATATTACTGTGTATAGCCCTCACATCTCAGGACAGTGTAGCTGATGCAGTAGTATTTCCAGAGAGCCAGAGTAGTGTTATGCAACCCTTCTCTTTTATTTTATTCTAAATACTAAAAGGATTGTTTTCCTTCTTGTTCACTTCATGGGGATTTCTGCCCATTTCCAGGTTTTCTGAATTACCCTGGTGCTTTTCTAATCTTAGACTAATCTTTTGAATTATCTGGGAATATGGAATTGTGGACTATTATATGTAGAAACACAGGTTTGCTTGTTACATCAAAGCAGTGGGATACAGACATTTCCTGGTGTTGTTCAACTATTTCTACATATATATCCCTTTTTACTGTCACCCTGTTGAACAGGTAATGCTCTTCTCTACTTTTTCTTCAACGTACTAGAGAGTATTTAAGGTACAGTACTCTAGTAATGGAAAAAAAAACCAGTGCTTTTTTCCAGATGCTCCAAAGGTCAGGAGGCTGGGGATAAATCGAAGCTGAACTCTTAAGCCAGGTGCTGGGGGGAATGGGAAGGGACTGGGCAGGGAGTGGGCAGTAACAGGGGACCCAAGGGCTTCACTCACTCTCTGCCTTTCCTCTTTAGTTCGTCTTGAAGAATTATGGTGAGAACCCAGAGACCTACAATGAGGAGCTGAAGAAGCTGGAGCTGCTTAGACAGGTAGGGCATCAGCATCCCCAGAGGGTACATGTAGGTGACTGGTGTGCCAGTGAAGCAAGGGGACAGGGAACAGGGATAGTCTCAAGCTGTGTTCTCTGGCTCAGTGTAAGTTTTGGGGTACCCTTATCCATTGCCTGCAGTTAACACAAATTTGCATTTTCTGTGCTATGCCTTTTGGCCAATTTGGAGAATCTTGAGAGGAGATGCTATCCACAGACTATGGCAGCTAAATGAATTCTCTGCCTGGGTGTTTATAACCGTCGAGGACATCTGTGTGAAGCCGTGGAGAAAAGGATCCTTGCTTTAGTCACCATCACAGGCTCTTTTTGGGGAGGAGAGTGGGATCTACATGCACCTTCCACAGTTTTCTGAGAAAGGTCTGCCTCAGAATGAAGCTTTTGTGGAAACAGTGTGTCTGGCCTTGAATATTCTGGTGAAGAGGGTGGGTTATGGTTGAAAATGAATTGGTAACTGCAAGTCAAAAGCCTAGAGGAAGAAGAAAGCAGGAGGAAGTTACTTTACCTTTCAGACTTGTCTGTTTCTCTTCTGTTTCTAAACAGTGATGAATGGTTGCTGGTCATCCTTAGATGCCTTAGCAAGACAAGCTAGGGAAATTAATTGGAGTTTTTGTTGAATTAATATCATAAATTGAACTGTAACATAAGTAAAGTGAGTGTATACAGCCCCCTCTGGGCTTTGATTAAAAAAAAACAAATTCTTGAACTTGATAGTTAAAGCACTTGCACATTCTAATTTTTTTTTCCTGAGGCAGTGGGGTGACATGACTTGTCCAGGGTCAAACAGCTAGTAAGTGTCAAGTGTCAAGTGTCTGAGGCCAGATTTGAACTCAGGTCTTCCTGAATTCAGGGCCGGTGCTCTATCCACTGTGCCGTCTAGCTGCCCCTTGCACATTCTGTATTGAACGTTGTCACAAACCTATGAGGCAGGCAGACAAGACAGACCGCATTTGACTGATGAGGAATAAAGGGGAGAGATGACTTGCCCAAACCTCACATGACAAGTTTGTAACAGGGCTGGAATTCTAATCCAGATCTTTTTGATAATAGCCCAGTATAGTTTCCACTAATTCCCAAACAGGTTGAGAACTCTTTCTTTTTCTGTATGGAGTGTAGGAATTTCTTCAGTTGGAAGGCTGTACACCTAGTTATGGTGGTGTAGGAAAATTTGGGGAAAGGCTGATGGTTTGAGGCCATGATGAGTAGAATAATCCAAGGCTTACCTTACCGATGTGCTGAGGCAAGATCCTACTACCTCGGTAGAATCCCAGGTTGCGAATGTTTTTAATTTAATTTTTTTTATTAACAAAACTCTACTTTCTTTTCTCAGCTCTTTCTCCCATTAAAAAAAACATTAGAAGAAAACCTGTAACAAATATGCATAGTCAAGCACAACTGATTACTGCATTGGCCGTGTCAAAAAAATATATGTCTCTGGGTCTTTCATCAGATTGTAAATTCTGATTTGATTTCCACAAAGAGGGGTTAGCTATTGGAGAAGGCAGTGGGCAAGCAAACTTGGTCCAGAGAAGCTGCCTCCGAAGACAAAAAGAGGTGGAGTCTTAAAGAAGATGGAACATCACCATGTCCTCAGACATCAGCAGCCAAGAGAAATACACTTCTGCTTCCATATCACTGTTTTGTTTTTTGTTTACCTGTAGAGCCTTGAGCTAGTTGCTTAACTGTTCTGAGGTCTCAGTGCCCTCTCATGTACAGTGGACTGGGTGGGGGACCGAAGGTCTTTGCCAGCTCCTGATCTGTGACTTCAAATCAAGGGGCCGGAGGTTTAGGGACAATCTGGTTGGAATTGAAAGAGCTCTGAAGGTAGAATCAGAAGAGACCAATTTGGCCTCAGTCCTTCTGAGCCATGGGACCCTGGACGAGCCACTGCATCTCTGAATGTCCTCTGTACTGTCTCACCCAGGGCTGTGGGGAAATGGTGGGTTGAACTTTTGGAACATACATTCCTAAAGGCAGAGGATCACAGATTTAGAGCCGGCGGGGACCTCCATCCCGTCCAACCCCTTCATTGTATGGAGGAGGAACAAGAAGCCCAAGGAGGACTTGCTCAAGGTCATTGATCATTCCTCTCTCCCCTCCCCCTCCTTCCCCAGAATGCAGTCAGGGTTCCTCGGGACTTTGAGGGCTGTAGCATCCTGCGGAAGTACCTGGGCCAGCTCCATTACCTGCAGAGCCGAATCCCTATGGGTTTGGAGAATGAGGCAGCTGTCCCCATCACATGGTAAGGACAACAGGATAAGGAGAATGGGAATTGATGGGACAGTGTGCTCTGTCATCTCTTCCTTTCCAAGCCCAGGTCAAAATTCTTACCTTTCTGGTGGACCAGCTCAAAGTAAGGACCTTTTGGATAAAAGGGAGTATTACCTCAGGTATTAGGACATCTACATTTGAAGTGAACTCGATAAGCCCCTCCCTGGCCTCTGTTCCTTTTTCTGTAAAATGGGAGTACCTTCTGTTCCACTTTACCCTGGGTATTTCTTTTACCCACTGTCCAAGAGATTAGAGGGTCCTGGCTTTATGGCCTGAAGATTTCCTTCCCTGATAATATGGGGCTGGTGTATTTGTAGGACAGAGATCTTTTCTGGGAAGTCAGTGACCCACGAGGACATCAAGTACGAGCAGGCCTGCATCCTGTACAACCTAGGTGAGCTTCCCTCTCTCCACCCCATTCCTGGGCAGGGTAAGACATTTTGAGCTCCAGAGAGCCTTAGGATTTTCTCAGGAACTTGGGTTTTTTCCCTTCCCTCTCCTTGCCTTCATCTCCTGCCCAGGGAGGAGATGTTAAATCCTGAGGAAAAACACTTTCCTTTCAGGAATCCCAAAGTGTTACGTACCCCAGCTTAGGTCTAGCCCATATCTTCTTGCCAGGCCTCAGTTTTCCTTTGAGTGCCACTGGAACAACACTAACCCCAAATCCCTGAAAAGTGAAGCTCGATGGCTTTGGTGACCTGAGCCAGGAAATCCCTTCCATAGGTATCCTGAAAGGGTGCTGATGTCTTTTTTCTCTGTTTTCTAAAGGGGCTCTTCACTCCATGTTGGGCGCCATGGACAAGAGGGTGTCTGAGGAGGTGAGAAGCAGGGCCTGCCAGGCGGCAGGGGAGGGCTGGCCAGGGGCATTGGCTTCCCCTGCTCTGAACCAGCTCCTCACTGATTCTGTCCCTCAGGGCATGAAGGTTTCTTGCACCCATTTCCAGTGTGCAGCAGGTGCTTTCACTTACCTACAGGAGCACTTCCCTCACTCGTACAGTGTGGATATGAGCCACCAGATCCTCAACCTCAACATCAACCTCATGCTGGTAGGCCCTGCCTCTCTGTTCCTGTGGCATCTGTGAGCCCAGTGAGCGGGCCTCCGGCCTAGTCTGCCCTCAGGAGCTCACTCACAGGCAGAAAACTGAAGCAGCCAAAGCACACAAGTGTTAAGAGTTCAGAGGGAACGTCAGGTCACAGGCCACTGGCTGTGGTGAGGGCTGAGGCGAGGGCTTTCCAGATGTAAAGGAGCATGATTGAATGCACGGAAACAAGATGTGGATGGTGTTTTGGGAAGACAGCAAAGCGACCGGTCTGGCTGGCTGGAACAGAGCATTTCTTTAGAGGGAATAGTGGGAAGTTAGATGGAAAGGTAGTGTGTGACCAAATAGGGCAGGGCCTAGAATGCCAGGCTAGGTTTGGATTGCAGCAGGGAGCCACTAAAGGTTTAGGGGAAGAACTAAAAGCAGTGCTTTAAGAGGCATGAGTTGGCATGGTGTGCAGGGTGGATTGGAGACCAGAGGCAAGCAGGTCAGATAGGAAGACTTGCAGTAGTCCAGGGGATAATAAAGTTTTGAGGCTGGAGAAAATCTGGTCATTTTTCTAGCAGACTTTTATATCAAGTAAGAGAAAGTTAGGCTTTTGTCCCCAGCTGAGCTCAGGTAACCAGCTGTGTGATGAGATCTTTTGGTGTTTGTGAACTGGAGCAGAGCAGAAGTGGTAAGATGTACCTGAGGGCCTGCTCCCCAGGTGTGTTTGTTCTCCCACTCCAAGGGCCAGGCTCAGGAATGCCTCCTGGAGAAGTCAATGCTGGACAATCGAAAGAGTTTCCTGGTGGCTCGCATCAGTGCACAGGCAAGTAGCTACGGTCACTCTTCAGCACGCTGCTGTAATGCTGTTCTGACCCAATGCTCTGTTCCTCTGGTCTGGGATTTCCTGCCAGATAGTGAGGTCCCTGCACCAGCTCTGGTATAGTAGGAAGAGCGCTGCATGGGGTCAGTCTGGGAAGACGCAGATTAACATCCCTGCTCTGCCACTTAGCAGCCATGTGACCTTGGGCTTACTGAGACTTAGTTTCCTTCTCCATGCAACAAGGTTCATACTTACATTCCCTATCTCTCCTAGGGTCATTAGGAGAAAAGTCCTTGTTAAACCTCACAAGCAAGATAAGTGGGAGCTGCTGGTGATCGAGTGTCACCTGTCATTAGCCAGGAGGGTCATCACTTGGAGAGCTAGTGGGATTGAGGCTTTCCTGGAGGCCTCTTCCTTTGTCTCCCTGCTCCCTGATCAAGCTTTCTTTCCCCTCCCAGGTGGTTGTTTACTACAAGGAGGCCTGCCGGGCCCTGGAAAACCCTGAGACTGCCTCACTGCTGGGCAAGGTCCAGAAAGACTGGAAGAAACTGGTACAGATGAAGACCTGCTATTTTGCCGCTGTGGCTCATGTAAGGAGCCCTGCCAGGCGCTCTTCCCTTCCCTTCTTTCACCTTGGGTGGGGAGGTTGCAGGGGTGGGAAAGATGAGGCCAGCCCCCTGGGCAGGATGTCTTCATTGACCTCACACACTTCGTCTTTCAGCTGCACATGGGGAAACAAGCTGAGGAACAGCAGAAATTTGGAGAGAGGGTAAGTGGCCAGCACTGCTGAGGTCGTGAGCTCTGGCTCAAAAGTACCCCAGGGTGAGGGATTCAACATCTTACTTCCCAAGGTGGGGGAAACATGCACCAGGAACCTGTACCAAGCCGTCTTTTCTTCATTCTTCCCTATCCCCTAGTTTCCCTTCATTATTATACCCCGTTTCCCCCACCTCCAATTCTCTCCCTTATTTGTGAAAAGAGTGCTTTAACATCCTTCTTTTTTCTTCTGAATAGACAAGAGTATAGGAGTAGGAGCTAAGAAACCTGAGTTCTAGAATTGGCTCTACCATTAATTTGCTATGTGATCTTGGCCTTGGTTTCTTCATCTGTAAAATGGCTATATTGCTCCCTGCCCTGTCTGCCTCACAGAGTTGCTGAGAAACTCAGATAAGATCATGTTTTTTTGGCGTTGTTCTTGGGAAAGCATTCGGTGCTATGCAGGTGCAAAGGGCTTTTTCCATCTGGTACTAACCATCGTGCTCAGGGATTCCTGGCGTGGTAATAGAAGCACCAGTTTGTGGACCTGGCATTTAGGGCCCTTCACATTCCCACCTTACTCACCTTATACCTCTTAACATATTTTCTGTGCCATAGCCAGACTGGACTCCTTACCACCTGCTAAGTCTACCTCTGGACCTGCTCTCTGTCTCTTATACCTTCCAGTATCCCAGCTGAGAGCACTTGTTTGGAGTTTTGAATTCTTTGCCCATGTCAGACTAGCTTGCCTGCCTTCCTGCCTAGCTGCAAAGTTTCTCTACTGTCATGTGGGGAATGATTTGGGCCCAGTTTATCCTGTGGTCATTAAAAGGAGATGGGTCTCAGCCTGGGAAAAGTATATGTGTCCTGGGTCTGGGCTTAATGCTCAGGCCTAGAGAGAAAGGGAGGCTTTGGGCTCTCATGGCTAGTTTTGAGATGCTGTCTCTTAGAAAGAGGTGGTGAGGACTTCACATAGGATGGAGTGGGAAGAAGGGGATCGTTACTCTTTGCCTTCCTTTCCTTCTCTCCCCATCTGTGCTACTAGGAGGCCAACTATCTCTTTTCTTACAGGTGGTCTACTTCCAGAGTGCCCTGGACAAACTTAATGAAGCCATTAAATTGGCAAAGGTAATATAGGCTTGAGGTCCTTCTTCTGTTTTTCCCTTCTATGACAAGACCTACTTCCTGGTCTCGTTAGAACTTTTGATCTTTTGCTAATTTCAAATAGCCTTGATTGAGTGCTACTGTACATAGAGCTTTGGGGGGGAGGGGAGAAGGGAAAGTGGAGGGGAGGGCTGGGGTTGTGCACATCTCAATAGGGGCCAGATTTGGCATAATAATGAAGAGCTTTCCCTCTGTTCCTCTCCCTTCTGTCCATTCCCAAAAAGGGACAACCTGAAACTGTACAGGATGCTCTGCGCTTCACTATGGATGTCATTGGTGGAAAGTAAGTCAGGGTTGAACCAGGATGAGAATTACTGTCACATGTGAGAGTGAAAGGTTAGGGCAAAGGAGGGAGCAAATGGAATCGTAGAGCTGGCTTCAAGCAAGCTTGAAATGGTCCGTGTTTCCCTTTCCAAGATAACGGAGTGGAAAGTGGCAGCTGAGCCAGACCCAGGATTATGGGATCCCCAGGTGGCTGTAGTGCTAGGGGCAGAATAGATGTGTGGGTCAGGGACCAAACTCAGTGGCGACAGGAGGGAGGCAGGACACGAACACACTCCTTACCTCCTTTTCTCTGTTCACAGGTTCAATTCAGCCAAGAAGGACAACGACTTCATCTACCATGAGGCTATTCCTGCACTGGACACCCTGCAGCCTGTAAAAGGTGTGGAATGCAGAGGGTGGAGGAGAGAAGACCCAGTGACACCATTTTGGGGAATGAAATTGGGTGCCTAGTGTCAGCCTCATACAGCGAAGGAGTGAAGAGCTCTGTGCCTAGAGTTACATTAACAAAAACAGTGCATAACAAGGGGAGTGACCGTCCAGCGTCTTCCAGCCTGTTCGTACTGTATTGAGTTCTGGGAGCTAAGTTTTAAGAAGAGCCTTGGCAACTGTGGTACCATGAGCAGGACAGTGAGGGGAGGAAAGGGTTATGGGAGCTGGCAGTGTTGCAAATGAACAAAGACTGGGGATCGTCTCCAGGTATTTGAAAGACTGTCGTTAGACTTGTTTGGCTTCTGGATCTGAAAAGTGGGAAAAGCTGCAGAGGGATATTTAGGCTCTACGTATGGAAATGTTCCTTACAAAGTTTGAATTGTGCAAAAGTGGAATGAGGAATGAGTTCGCAGCATGAGGAAGCTGGAGAACTGCTTGTTGGGAGCTTTGTACAAGGCATTCCTACTTAGGCAGGATCCTTCCAGGATAACCTTTCTGGATCCTTTCCCCTTTGAGAATTGATTATTTTATGATCTCTTTACTTAGGCAGTTGAATTGTTCTTTGCCTCAGTTTCTGGCCCAGGGCTTCTTGGCTTTCCAACTCTTTTCCTTCCTTTTCCCAGGAGCCCCCTTGGTGAAGCCCCTTCCTGTGAATCCTACTGATCCAGCTGTCACTGGCCCTGACATTTTTGCCAAGTTGGTGCCTATGGCTGCCCATGAGGCCTCTTCACTGTACAGGTAAGCAGAATGGGGAGAGGCTTGGCTTGAGGTGGTCTGGGGAATGAGCATCTCCTACAGAAGGGTGGGGTCACCTCCAGAGTTAAGCCCCAGTGGATTTGCACTGGGAGGTAGCACACACTCTCTCAGTTGACTCTTTTACCCTCCCATCCTCCAGTGAGGAGAAGGCCAAGCTGCTTCGTGAGATGATGGCCAAAATTGATGCCAAGAACGAGGTCCTAGAGTAAGTAATGGAGAAAGGGAGAAATGGGAGAACAAGGCCCAAACCTTCTTCCTGCTTCCATCAAGTCCTCCAGAATATTAGGGAGACTGTAGAGCCATCTTTGGGATGGAGCTGGCCAGTCAGCCCATTAGGGGAGGGCTATGAGAGAAGAGAATGGAACCAGAGCTCCTCCAGCTGAGTCTTTGGGGAGACAGACAGAAGCCCAGGGGAGAGAAAATTTGTTCTCACAGGAGGCCTCAGCAACTGAATTTACTACATGTTTGAATTGAAATTAATAGGGAAAAAGTAAATTAGAGGGGAAAACTGGCCTAAATTTTCTTGTATGTCATTATATATCTTGCTTTCCATTCATTCAACATCTAGCCCAAACGTGTCTCTGTTGTGGGGAAAGTCAAGAATTCAGTCTGTCTGGGGAGCTGGGACTCCCTCCAACACGGTGAACAAGCTGGAGAGGAGTGTGGAGGTTCCAATAGGGCAGAAATCCTGGTCATCTCCCAGAGCCTTAGACCCTAGCTCTGATCCAGGGAACCTCAGCTCTCAGCCACCAGCCCCTTGAAAGCTACTGTTTTTCCCTGCACAACCATTGGGTCAGGGATAGTCTCTTGTCTGCACCTAGCTGTGCTCACCTCTTTGAATCCTTGCCACATGAGGTTAAGTTAAGGACAGGTGTGCGTCGTAGGCTGAGACGACTCACAACAGTGACCTTTCTCCATCATCCCTTGGCACAGCCAGTTCATGGACTCCCTGCAGCTAGATCCCGAGACGGTAGATAATCTGGATGCATATAACCACATCCCACCCGTGCTCATGGAGAAGTGTGCGGCCCTCAGCGTTCGGCCCGACACGGTGAAGAATCTTGTTCAGTCCATGCAGGGTGAGCATATGTGGAGAAATGGTGTTTGGGGGCGTGGCTTATGGTTGAGCCTTCCTCGCTAAGGAAGAGCAGCTGTGGTCTGGAGCTGTGTTTCTGACATGGTCCAGAGAGTAACAAAGAGCAGTCATTACTTGGGCAAAAGTGAAGTATGTGAGGCATTTTCATAGGTGTTAGCACCACAAGCAACCCTAGAGATCATTCAGCTCATCCCTCCCTTTCTCTCATTTTACATAGGAGGAAACTGAGGTTTCCTTTCTAGTTAAGTCATTTATCCAAGTCATCCAGCTAGGTAGTATTAGAGCTGAAATTTGAAGTCTTGTCATTCCAAATCTTGTGCTCTTTTTCCTCAGCTAAAAAGGGAATAAGATCAAGGCCAATAATCTAATAAAAGGCCAGAGCAAGGCTAAACCCAAGATTTTGGACTGGGGGGGAGGGGGTTTGTGGCCCCCAGGTCAATAGGCTTGGTCTCTCTCCCCTTCACAGTGTTGTCAGGAGTCTATACAGATGTAGAAGCTTCCCTGAAGGAGGTCAAGGGCCTGCTAGAGGAGGATGAGCTTCTGGAGCAGAAGGTCCAGGAAGCATCTGGGCAGCCAGGAGCAGTTCCAGCTGGGGGGCTGGCTGAGGTAAGCCGAGAGTGGGCCAAATACATGGAAGTGCACGAGAAGGCCTCCTTCACCAACAGTGAGCTGCATCGGGCCATGAACCTGCACATTAGCAACTTACGGCTGCTGAGCGGGCCACTGGACCAAGTGCGCGCTGCCCTGCCCTCTCCAGCCCTCACCCCTGGTAAGTAGAAAGGTCGGCATCACCCGTAGGGCTGAGGAGAGGAGGCAATTTCTTTGGATTCTTTTATCAATGAAGGAACTCTGCCCTTTGCCTCTTCCCAGATGACAAGGCTGTGCTGCAGAACCTCAAGCGTATCCTGGCCAAGGTGCAGGAAATGAGGGACCAGCGCCTATCCTTGGAGCACCAGCTCCGAGAGTTGATCCAGAAGGATGACATCACCACTTCCCTGGTCACCACAGACCGTTCAGAGATGAAGGTGACATCGTGGGGGTTCCCCAGGGAGAGGTTCTGCTTAGGGGGCTTCTCACTCCCTAGAGTGAGAACGTGGGAAAAGCCGTGCACAGGGACTGAGGACTGGGATGGAGGAGGCCCAATGGGTCCTGCTTGGAGAGCTCTCTCCTGGGTCTCACTCCTCCTCTTCTTGACCCTCAGAAGCTCTTTGAAGAACAGCTCAAGAAGTATGACCAGCTCCGTGTGTACCTGGACCAAAACCTAGCTGCCCAGGAGAATATCCTCAAGGCGCTGACAGAGGCCAACGTACAGTATGCAGCTGTTCGTCGAGCACTTACGGAGCTGGAGCACAAGTCAGTGCCCTGGACTGCTGGCCTCTCCTCCCTTGTCCCTCCCCTCCAGCCCCAGGGCTTCATTCTTAGCCCATGTGTTAAGTAATTGCATGGGGGTGAGGCAAGATGCTGGGCTCACCTTTGTTTCTGCCCCAGGTGGAACTCCACACTGCAGACCTTGGTGGCCTCCTATGAGGCCTATGAGGATTTAATGAAGAAGTCCCAGGAGGGAAAGGATTTCTATGCTGATCTGGAGAGCAAGGTGGCCGCTCTGCTGGAACGGGCCAAGGCTGCATGCCAGGCCCGAGAAGCTGCATTCCAACAGCTCCTCAGCAGGTAAAGCTGGGCCTGAGGACTGTTCTGGTCTCATAGACATAAAATGGAGTGGGGAGAGGGCAGAGAAATCTGACTGATGGACTCTGGACTGACTTCTTAGGGAACTGAAAAAGAAACCTCCGCCCCGGCCTACCGCCCCAAAGCCACTACTAGCCCGAAAGGAAGAAGGGGAAGTTATAGAGCCTGGGGATCTGCCCGAGGAGCTCCGCAGCTTGCCTCCTGACATGCTGGCCACCCACCTGGCTGCCTTTCCCACTGGAGCCCTCCCCAGTGATGCCTTTTTGGGAGCTGGAGCTGTTATGCCTTTCCCCTCTGGCCATTTTACTGTCCCTGGGTCCCACTATATTCCCAGCCAGGGTCCCAGCCCTTTCCCCCCAGGTACCTACTCTGGGCCTCCACCTCTACTACAACCCTCAGCCCCTCAGCTACAGGACTGCCCCTGCCAGGCTTGGCTCCAGGGCCCCGCCTCTATCCAGCTCCCACTTACACCCCAGAGCCTGGCCTAATTCCTGGTTCATCTCCTCAACACAGGGTAGTAAGCAGCCACTATGCACTAGGGCCTCCTGGATCCAGTGGGGGTGTCCCCACAGCCCCCCCGCCCCGATTTATGGGCCCTGAGCTGGCTCCAGGGATCCGTCCTGCCACTACCACAGTGGACAGCATCCAGGCCCCCATCTCAAGCTACACGGCCCCCAGGCCTGGGCCTAGCCCAAGCCCAGCCCCCACCAGGCCCTGCTACTCTGCCTCCCAGCAAGGACTCCCAACAGTACCTTATCCTTACCCTGTAGGGGTTTGCCAACCTTTCACCCCCTCTTCGGCCCAGCTTCCTTTTCCCCCAGCTCCCCGTGGTGAGTTGCAGCCTCGGCCCCAAACCTATGCCTCCCAAGTGCCCTTCGTTCCTCAGCCTCGACCCCCAGCCCCAATTCAGCACCCACCTGTCTTCCCTCCCCAGACCAGGGTCCCTGCTCCCACTGCCCAGCAGCCACCTTTTCCTTTCGTTACCCAGCCTGCTGTCATGGGGCAGCTCCCGCCACCTTTGCGTACCCATCTTTACCCACTTCCTTCCCAGGATCCTTTACCCCCCCATTCAGGAGCCTTGCCTTTCCCCACTCCAGCCCCACCTCAGACTCCCCATGCTCCACTTCCTGGAGTTCAACCCCTTCCCGCAGGCACTTCAGCCATACCCTATTGCCCAGCCCCAGCTTCTAGGACCCAGGGTCCCCAGGCCCCCTCACTCCCCAGTCAGTTGCCCCCTGGCACTCCATTACCCCTCCGGGGCCCCCCACCCTCCAGCCAACCTTCTCCAAGCCCTCATCCTGTGCCTTCACCAGCCCCATCCCCGGGGCCGGGCCCTACCACACCACACCCTTCCCAGACAGAACCACCACCATTCCAACGCTGCAACTCGTCTACCGCTGATCTGCTCTCATCCAGCCCCGAGAGCCAGCATGGGGGGTCCCAACCCCCTGGTGGAGGACACCCTTTGCTCCAGCCCACCAAGGCAGATGCCACAGAGGGCCAGCGGCCCCAAGCTCTGCGACTGATAGAGTGTGACCCTTATGAGCAGCCACAGAGGCTCCAGCAACTGCAGGAGGAGCTGGAGGCATTCCGAGGGCTACTGAGTGGTGGGGCAGGGGCTCTAGATGCAGTCTGGCGAGAGCTGCAGGAAGCCCAGGAACGGGATGCCCGAGGCCGCTCTATTGCCATTGCGCGTTGCTATTCTCTCAAGAACCGGCACCAGGATGTCATGCCCTATGATAGTAACCGGGTAGTGCTTCGTTCAGGCAAGGATGATTATATCAATGCCAGCCGGGTGGAAGGACTCTCCTCATACTGCCCTCCATTGATAGCCACCCAGGCTCCACTGCCTGGCACTGCAGCTGACTTCTGGCTCATGGTGCATGAACAGAAGGTGTCCGTCATTGTTATGTTGGTTTCAGAGGCAGAGATGGAAAAGGTGAGGAAAGGGGGTAGACAATCACTTGGGGAATTTTCCCTTTGCAGAGGGAACAATGGAACTGAGTTGTGCCTGTGACCTTTTAGGGCAAAGAGCAGAACTGGAATTTGAACACTGGTCTTATCCGAGACAATGTGGTCTTTCTACAAGATCTCCAGGCTTAACTTGTTTTGTCATCCCTCCCTCCCCAACGATATTTTTAGAAATATAAAATATAAAGATTGCAAAAGAGACCAGTTATATTGAAATATATTTAATCAAAATACTTAATATAAAATCCATAGGTGCTAGGTTAAGGACCTTGACCTTTGTGCTATGGCCCCAGGTCAGCTTCTTTGACAATTTGCTCCTCTCTCTTTCTGCCCTATAGCAGAAAGTGGCTAAGTATTTTCCCACCGAGCGGGGCCAGCCTCTGGTCCAGGGCCCTCTAAGCCTGGTGCTGAGCAGTGTCCGGACCACAGACACCCACGTGGAACGTGTGCTGAGCCTGCAGTTCAGAGACCAAAGCCTCAAACGCTCTCTCGTACACCTGCACTTCCCCACTTGGCCAGAGCTGTGCGTTTAACCCAAAGCGGGGGGGGGGGGGGGGGGTGGTAACGTTGATGGCAGGTTAACTGGCTGTTTTTTTTGGGGGGGGGTGGTGGAGAGGAGATGTGAGCCTGAGAACTAAGCGAATGAGCCACTCAGGTCCCCGCATGCCCTTGTCCTGGTCCTAGGGGTCCCATTCATTCCTCTTCTCCCATTTTCAGGGGCCTCCCAGACAGCCCAGGGAACTTGCTTCGCTTCATCCAGGAGGTGCACACCCACTACCTGCATCAGCGGCCTTTGCACACCCCCCATTGTGGTGCACTGCAGGTACTGCCAGGATGGCTGCAGGGAGGTCTGGGAATACATTTTCTGAGGGGCCTTGCTCACTCTCTCTTCCTACTCTCACAGTTCTGGGGTAGGCCGCACCGGAGCCTTTGCGCTGCTGTATGCTGCTGTGCAGGAAGTAGAAGCTGGCAATGGAATTCCTGCCCTGACGCAGCTGGTCCGGCGGATGCGGCAACAGCGGAAGCACATGTTACAGGAGAAGGTAGGGGCTAAATAGGAGAGGCAGGGCAGGCCGGGCTGCTGAGTTTAAGGTGATGCCTTGAACTGAAGTTGCCATTCCCTTGTCAGCTGCACCTCCGATTTTGTCACGAAGCAGTGCTGAGACATGTAGAGCAGGTGCTCCAGAGGCACGGGGTGGCACCCCCTTCTGCCTGCAGACCCCTTGCTAACTCCAGTGTGGCCCAGAAGGTAAAGAGGGGGTGGGAACTCGGGGGTGGGGTGGGAATGGGGGAGGATAGGGGTAGATGGAGTTCTTGAGTCTCTTCTCTCTCTCCCTCCACAGGCATATCTGCCCCAGGACCCCCAGGACCTAGTGCTGGGTGCAGACATGCCCATCAGCTCCATCCAAGCCACCATTGCCAAGCTTAGCATCCGGCCCCAAGGGGGCGGGCAGGAGCCCCCTCCTCTGGCCTTTGCTAGTCCTTCTGAGCCTCTTAGTCCTACCACACCCAACCTCCTGGAGCTCACCAGTCCCCCCTTCACCTTCTCCTCCTTCCTCCCCTCAGCCAGAGATTCCTGAGCCTAAGGAGGAGAACCAGATCCCTGCAGCACCTAGTCCTGGGCCTTCCACTTCTTCTCTAGAGCTATTGGCCTCCCTGACTCCTGAGGCCTTCTCCCTGGACAGCTCCCTGCGGGGGAAGCAACGCATGAACAAGCAGAGCTTCCTGCAGGCTCATAATGGGCAAGGACTTCGAGGCACTGGCCCCAGTGATGACCCTCTCAGCCTTTTGGACCCACTCTGGACCCTAAATAAGACATGAATTGGACCTAGAGGCACGGATGTCCAATGGCTTCTAACTCCCTACACTACATGTTTTTCTTTAAACCTGCTAAGTCCCTAATCCAAAACCTGAGCTGCCTCTTTTCTGGAACAGGGAAATACTTCCAACCCTTCCCCGGGGCCCCCAGGGAAAGGATCTGGAGGTTTGCCAAGGGGCCAGGGTAGAGGAGGAGGATTCAGCAACTGTAGAGGAACAATTCAGGGGAGAAGAGTCAAACCCCACCCCTCCCCAACAATTCTTGTTGCCTTTAAGCCCTGGTCTAGTGGAAGTCCTCCTAGGATGATCATTTCTCTTGACTGCATGGAGCTGCAGAGGAGACATCAGCACTCACTTCTTGCCCTTCACTAACGACCCGACTCTTGGGGGCAAAGTGGGTGGGGCAGACCGTGAACAAAGTAGCCATTCTCTTACTTGGGACCTGAATTTTTTTTTTCCAGCTCTTTGCTACTAAAATAAACCAACCTATGTGACAGCTGCTTCTTGTGCTTCCCTTCTGTCCTCTGCCCTTGAAATTACTTGACATTCTCCTTAGCTCCTTCCAGCAACCTTGTGAAGTACTACAGGCATCCTCATTTTATGAATGAAGTGCCCAAAGCCACCTACATAGTTACATGGTAGAGAGGTTAGGTTAGATAACCCAGGTCCTCTGTATTGTATTTTTCCCATCACACACAGCTCAGTCCAATGCCAGCGTTAAGGGCTTGATGGTGGGAGATTATTAGTGTGGACAGAAAGACCTTGTCCAAGTCATTATTTGCACTTGCCAGTACTAGTCTGATGATAAACAAGGACCCTGAAGGACAGTCTTAAGTCACTTATGTAACTTGGGAGAGGAGTTTAGGAGCTAGAATCTGATGAATAATCTTCCTTAAAACTGTCCATTCCTAAACCCCTAGTACAAAGCCAAGCCCTCAGTTCTGGTCCGTACCTCTGCCAGTGATTTGCTTATACAACACTAGATGGTTTAGAACCAATATTCTGTTAGCCTTGAAGGATTATAGATGGTAAAGGAGCAGAGTCTATTGGCCAGAGCCCAATATAAATTTTCACAACTGCCTCTCTTAGCACGAGCAACAAAGGCTAATAGGTAGTACAGCATGAGGGGTGGGAGTGCCTGCCTTGGTGAGGCCAAAGAGGGTTACTATCTTCAAAGCACTTTAGCCACTCTGTGATAATCCTCATTACGACCCAGGCTACCCTCCACAGTAAGAATAACCTAAACTCCATTAAGACTCCTATTCTTCCCTCAGGACTTAGCTCTGCTTTCTTATGTGGGTCAGTTATACAACCACACTCACCTATTCTACTTTCCTTCCCCCCATTTTCCCTCTAGTACAACCACACTATTCAAACCAGCTTCCCCTAAGAAGGCAGTTTTATGGCTGACTAAAGCAATATAGCTTTTCCTCCCTCTTCAGGAGTGTGAATGCCACACCAAACAACTCTTGTGCTATCTAGGCCTGGCCACACTTAATGGATCTATTAATAATGCTACCCCACCACTTATTTTCTTCAAGGTGGGCATACAGAAAGAAAAGAAGTAACAGAAACATAATTATGTACCCTTATAGGGCATAGATGGAGGTAGCTCATGGTGGTTATATATTACATGATTTAAAAAAGTTTATTTAAGAGAGGGAACTGGCAAGATGGGAAGACATTGAAAAGTCCCGAGGGCAAACCCAGCCAACCCTATTCTCTCCTTCACCCTCAGGTACTACAGCTTTGGTCCCACTAATGGGGAAAGGGAGAGCCAGGAGACGCCAGGCAGAAGAAACAGTCCCTACGCCTAGCACAGGGTCCACCAGTTAGCAGGACACACAGTGCCCTTAGTGGAGTGGGAGCTTACCAAGAGCTGTCCTCCCCAACCACCAGAAAGGTGGACAATTCCCCTCCTGCTCCAAGCCTGGTCACCACTGTTGGGTCACCTCCAGTCCAGGCCTGCTATGAAGACTCTGGAGAGGGTGCTCAGGCCCAGTATTAACCCTGGTTCAGTCCAGCTTCTCCAACACGGAGGGCACATATACCAGGCTCAGCTCACTGCCAAAGTTGCAGACAATGGCCGCGTTGTCCAGCACAAGAATCTGGCGGGCTGGCTGTGCCTCACTGCTTTTGCCCAGGTACACAGTTTGCAGCAGGTCCCCATAGTTTAGATCCCAGAAGGAGACGCACCCCTGGCCTCCAGTGACCAGTAAGTTGTCCGAGATGACACCCAGGCTGGCCCCACACCCCATGTCCTAGGGAGGTTGAGGGGAACAAGTGTTACAGATACTGTAGTTCAGAGTATATAGGCACTATTTTCCTGTCCCACCCAATCTGGGGTCTTGGGTCTTCTCTTTATAACCCATGTGCCCTTCAAATGGGAGAGGGACAAGATGAAAACAATCCCAGCCCCTCCCCCTTTCTTTTCTCACCTGCTGAATTGAGTAGAGCTTGATGCCAGTGCATCGGTCCCAGATGCTGATGAGGTCATCCAGGCCACTGCTGATGATGCAGGAGGTGGTACAGGTGAGGGAGGTTACATCCCCACGGTGTGCAAACATATGGCTTACTCGACTACCTGTTAGAACATCCCAAAGGCAGATGGCTCCATCCTGCCCCCCACTGGCCAAAACCATTGTCTGAGAGAACGGAGATGGAAAAACTGAGTTACTGTAGGGTCTCAGAGCTTAATAAGAAACTCATGTCTATTGAAATCTGAATCAAGACCAGGGAAGACTCTTGGAAACTTCGGGAATAGGGTGAGCGTGGCCTTAACAGGGCCCACAGAGGCAGACTCATCCATGGATAGAATCATGTACAGTCAGCCCAATGTGGCTACGGTCCATTGCATCCCTCCACCCTAAGGCTCTTGGCCCTGTCTTAGCTCCTCCCTAGGAGCTTGTACTGGGTCTCACCTGGTCAATGTACACAGCTGTAATGGCCCCTGAATGGCCCTGCAGGGTGAAGAGGCAGCACGAGTCCTCCAGCCTATACACCTGAAACGTGAGGCAGCATCAGAGCTCTGACTCCCATCCTGATTTTTTCAAAACTCTATATATTTTCTCCCCATTCATTCAAATTTGAAAAGGTTCTCGATGTCAATTCAAATTTGCAGAACTAACTCAGTGGCTCCAATAGATTTCACCACCTTCAGCCAAGAAATCCTTGTTAACAGGTCTCCATTCCCTCTGATTTCGCTTTCTACCCTCCCCAAGACTGCCCAAGCTTCCAAAGGATACTTACTCTCAGAGTGTGGTCCTGGCTTCCAGTCACAACACGACCAGCAGCAGCCTTCAGGGCGGTAATGGGTTTCTGGTGGGCACAGGACACTGTGTGGGTGAGGTGGCATACTACAGTATCACTGTTGCTGTACACAGGGGATGAAGGGGCACTGCCCCGGCTTGGAGTCCCTGGGAAAAACCAGTTCAAAGTGAACAGAGACCCAAAGTAGAAAAGAAGTCATCTTTTCCCATACCCACTAATACCAGCAGGAGAGTTAACCCAGTTGCCATGCCCCTGGCCAGAGACCTCAGGGTGAAAAAGTTGCTATAAATCTGTCTCACTTTCCACAGAATCTTCTCTTGACCCACTCTATTCCCACTTTACCTCGAAACTGCAAATGGCTGAGGACTGTGCAAGTCTCCAAGGAGAAGAAATCAAGGGACCCGTTGAGCCGGGCAGCCACAATCCTGTAACAGAACAGTGATAACTGCAGCCTTTAGGAGGGAAAGGCCCAGGGGAAACTCCTAATGGTAATTAGGAAAGGTGTGTTCCAACCCTGCCCCCAGGAAGCTGTAAGACCAAGGATGACAGCTGCAAGGGACCCAGATAAAATTCAACCTTCTCATTTTACAGCTGAGAGAACTTAGACCCAAAGATTAAATAAGGGCTGACTGTACATGATTCTATCCATGGGTGAGTTAAGTAAGGGTCACCCAGCTGGTAAGGGTATGAGGCAGGATCCACACCCAGGTCTTTATCTACATGATCCTCCCACAAACTTCCCCCACCCCACAGTGCCATCTGTTGCACATCTGACCCAGATGCCCCTTCTGAAGAGGGGTCCAAGAGCCATCCTGGCCCAGGAAACTCACATCCTCACCTCTTGTTCAGGAACACAAGGGCAGTGATGCCTGAGGAGACCTCCTCGTTGCTGCAGCGAAGGGTGCCCTCGATGGCGTCCCACACCTATAACCCCAGAGGCTATGAGGGCCCTGCTCAGGTTGGGGCAGCCCAACCCGACTTCCTGCCCTAAAAGGACAGACTAAGGCCCTCCCTCCCACCCACTATGGGAAAGAGCAGCACTTGCCCTCCTTTAATGGAAGGGGGTGGGTTTAAGGAGCCTGTCTAAAGTCCTCAATTCTCCGCCTACTGCGACTGGTTGGGGACCCAGCCTCCTGGCTCCTATCTCCCCCCTACTTTCCCATTAGTGAAATGAGATGGAAATCTCTGGCCCCCACCCCAGCCAATCCCACTTGCGAATGAGTCAAGAAAACCAAAGCTAGGCCCTTTGTCCTCAAGGCTTGCTCATCAAAATAGTGCCCCTACCCTCTGTCCTCAACTCCTGGCCTAACCTCCCCACCTCCAGCCTGCCATTGCTGCGCCCGGCCACGATGAGGTTCCCCTGCAGGTCCAGGCTCCAGACGGAGCTCTCTGTGTCCAGAGTCCAAGTGGGAATGGGTGACCCCTTCTCAAGATGTGAGCAGGCTTCATCCTCAGGGCAATGGAACGAAGGAACTGGGGAAGGGGGTCCGAGGGCTGGTAAGGGAATAGGAGCCAGCCCCTCCTCCTGGTATACCCGCTGCACCAATCGGCTGAAATCATAGCCAGGAGGGTCATGGGGTCGTCTACAGCCAGCCCGGTGCCTGGGCTCAGGCTGTGAGGGCTCTAAAGGTGGGGGCTGAGGCTGCTCAGAAAAGTTGGTGTCAATGAGGCAGGTCAGGTCAGGCTGGTCACCAAAGAGTGGAGGCTGTGGGGGACCCAGGAGGCGCCGTAGCTGGGGGTTGTCTCCAAGCTCCTCAGGACTTCCTTTTCCCCCATCTGACAGCTGCTCCCAGCTCTCTTGGGAATCAAACACACCACCACTATCCCTTCGAAGCCTAGTAAGCAGAGAAAGGAAGGTGCCAGGGTAGGAATGTGTTTGGGGACGGAAAAGGGGTTAAAAGGAAAAGGATCTCATGCCAATGTTTAGAGCTGAGTAGTGGGTAAAGAAAGGAACTAACCTTTGAAGCCAGGAAGAAGGGATAAGAGAAGAAATCATACCCTTGCTTGGGGATCAGGGTAAGGCAGTCCCCAGTCTGTGCATCCCACACCCGGATCTGTCCTACTAGGCAGCAGCTCACCAGGAGCATCCCATCACTTGCGAGGCACTCAATGTCCTGAAGGGCGAAGAGAATCCAGCTTACCAAGGGCAGGGATGCATGGTCATCTCCTGGCATCAAGTGACCTGTGATGGGCTCTCTCCTTGTTCAAACTGAAGACCCCCCAGCT